AAAAAAACCTTGCGCTGATTTTGTCCAAATGTCCTCAGTAGGTTCCGGCATATATATGGGACCCATGTGTTTAATAATAGCTTCACATACCTCTATGACGATTTGACCTACTGTTGTAAATCCTACCCTATAACTATGACCAATTGTCTTATATGAATCACCCGTTGCAAAAAATCTGTAAATAATAATAAAATAATAAAATAATATATAAATATAAATATATAATAATAATAAGATACTTTTTTAGGAGATGTATTAAAATCGAAGTGGAAAAACCTACGCGATACGTATCAAAAGCATTTGAGAGCTAACAAAACATCTACGGGCCAAAGTGTAAATGGGACCAAAAATAAAAACCTCTCTGCTTATAAAAAGTGGCAGTGGGCGTCTCATATGGAATATTTGAAAGAACATATGACTTTTGCCGAGTAATTAACTATTATAATACTATTTTATTATTTTTATTTGAATATAAATTAATTGTAAATTATTTTTTTTTTAAACTGAAAGAACTATATCCAACGTCCATGAACCTGCTCAAGACGAAGATAATGATACGAACGATTTGTTAAACTACACCGCATCTACTTCTGAAAAAAACGAAGTCATATTTTCTGCGTCTCCTAAAAATCCTCATAAAAAGTTTAGAGATCTAAGTCAAAAAAATATTGGAAATGATTCGCAATGTTCCAATATTGACAAAGTTTTAGAGCATTTTAAAAACAAAAGCAAAACCTCACATAATGCTATGGATGGGATTGAACTGTTAATGATGGACCACGCAAAAACTATAAAAATTTTTTCAGCTAGACGGCAAGCAATAGCTAAAAACAAAATAGCTAAATTAATCGGGGAATTAGAGTTGGAACAAATCGATGAAGACACAACAACATCGTCTTCGTCTCAGTCGTCTCACTATAGCATACCATCAGTGACTCCAACGAGTCCGACGCCGTCGATTATCAGAAATTATGATAATGCTGACAATTTGGATGCAATGTACTATCAGTTGTAGTCAATTTTATTTTTTATTTATTCAAATCGATGAGTGTAAAAAAAGGAACATATATCTATATAAAATTTTTTTTTGTTTAAACAGTAGTACTACCTATATTTTCTAACAGTTAGATATAAACACTAAACATTTTATATATTATAATAAAATATTATAATATTATTGTAGTATTTATTATTTATATATATATTATTACCTACCTTAAAGCAATAGCAAGACGTTCAGGTGGAGGTATTGGCACACGAAAATGAGTCGTTTCTTTACGTATATCTTCATTAATAAAATTTAAAATTTCATCAAAACAATTTGATGTCATTCGAAAATAAATAAAAAAACGTTTTGCATCATTTCGTAGTTGAGGCATTAAATGATTAAATTCACCTAAAATTTCTCTTTGGCTATTAATTTCATGAACCCATTTTCGTCTTTTACGTCTAAAAATTAAATATTACATGGTTTTTTTATTATTTGTTACTGTAACAGCCCAAACCATAATTAAAAACAATTGTAGTTAATGTATTATATGCAAATGGTACCTATTTTGTTCTTCATCATCCATTACAGCTGCTAACAGTAATACATTTTCTTCATCTGAACTTGAGTTTTCATAATATATATCCATGGTATAATAAAAATGTAAAAAAAATATAGTAATTTGTTGTTTTGTACTTTAAAATATTAATATTAATAAATAAAAATATAATAATTAATAAAATAGGTACATGTACGCGCATGGGTGTCACAATGTTGACTAGTAATTTTTGGCGAAATATTTCGCTCTCTGGTTAGGTTATATCAGCGGTATTTAAAAAGCGATAAATACCGCTGCCGTTACCGCCACCGCTACCGCTTCGGTTTGAGCGGACCTTCATTCGTCACCCGCGGCATAATCATGAGTATATTTTAGAGATGTGTCGTTCGCGAACGAACGGATCTTATTGAACGGGTCAAAGTAGTGAACGATATGATCCAGATCGCCGAATCGAGGTGATCCGGATCACCTGATATTTTTTTTTCGTATTGGTTCTTGGTTCACACTGTCTCCCCGATTCCCGAAGACCCGAATCCTATAATAGGTACTCGAGTCACGAACGACGCGAACAGTGTGAACCATGTTGAATCAGGATTTAAACCATTTGGAATTGGAATCACAAAAAAACAAGACTGATAGAGACACGAGTTTTTGATAACACGTTATCATTATAATATATATGCACATTTTTATTTTGCTCCTCTTCATAATTTTATAATGTCATTTAACTCATAATAATAATTAAATAACTAAATAATAACTAATAACTATTAGTATACAATAAATATAATTATATAAATCACAACATGTTGTGGTTAAGAAATAAAATTTGTGAAATTTTTGATGTTGTGAGTCGAGATCTTCTTTCATTTACAACTTGGCCTGCTTTCGAAAATATCCTCTCACAAGGTACTGATGTCATAATACACAGTCTCCTTTTAGTTAGTCTATACAATCGTGGGTACATATTTTTGTGCTTAGCCCACCAAACCAAAGGATTTTCCGCACGATTGATCAATGGTTCATTCAAATACTTGTCAACTTCAATTATACCTGCCACTGACGAGTTGGATCCTCCGATCAAATTCACTACAGTTTCATCAAACTCTTTCCACAGCATTGAACTTGAATTACTAGTAGAGGTAGATGTAGAAACTTGTTGATGATTGGTTCGTTTGATTCTAATATAATACTTTGAGCTTTAGTCTTTAAAAAAACGAACTGCATTCTTACAATGATTTTCATTAGAGAATGCAAATGTCTTGAACCTTGGATCCAATAATGTAGCTTGATTAATTAACGGGTTCTCTTCATAATTACCAAATCTTGCATGCAACTCATCCTTTAAAACCTGACACATGGAACTAATTT